TGATTGAAATGTACTCGTATGCATTACAGCTGACTGGTCACGGTACAGCACAGGCAAAACAGTTCAAAGAAACCTTGTATTGTCACTGTATACTGGTATATGTATGTACTTGTATGCATTTCGCCTTGAGTGCAGCTGTGTCTTATTGAACTTTTTAAGGTCATCGGGATATTTATATACAAAACTGTAAGTCTTGTTTTTCTCTTCATTCTCCTTTGAAAGTCTAGGGCAGGTCTTTGTTATTTTTTGTGGCGTAATGAGGCTTGGTTTTGTTACAAAGGTGTCGATCAGTTCATCTTTTTTTGGTTTTGGATGACTTTAGGCTGGCTCACACTAGTATACCTGTATGTCCTTACATGTACATGTAGTTCCAGTGAATGTGAAGCAAGAAAACATTTGGAGCCAAATTTGCTGAAGTTGAAATTTGTTCTGTGTCTTGCAAATTGCAGCATGAATATGAGATGCGAGGTCACAATTTTGTGTTTGTGTTCACTCTCATGCCAAGTACAACCAGCCCTAGCTGATCATGTTGTCTCCATTTTGGATGCAAACAATCAGGCTTCGGGTACATGTACTGTATATGTATATGCATGCAAGCGAGTTGGACCATAGAGCAAGGAAGCTGGCCACCACAATATAGAGAATTCAGCCAGAATGGATGATGCACTTGTGGCCCTTATGAGTTCTTTTTCACTGGGTAAAATTGTACTGTACTTGGTACCAGTACGTGTACATGTTCAAACATGTTCCTCAAACTACTTTTCAGTAACACCCCATCACAATAGACCGAATTCGTAGGGGACCCAATTTCAGTCAGCTTTCCCACGCAGTGTATTTATTTGAAAACATTAAATTTTAAAGAACCAGATTCTATTCTGCGATTTCATTCTGACCTCCCCAATCACCTGGTACTATCCCATTAACCCTAACTCCCAAGGCCTTTTTACTAGGAACCATCCTATATCCTCCAAAATGAATCCGATTTTCAACATGAAAAATTACATTCAGCCTCATAAACACTCTGAAATCCTTCAAAATTTCTTTAAAATGTTATTTGGAGGTGTGGCTACTGCCTCAATCTGTCAAAATCCTCCTGCAACTCCTGTCATTTTGTTGAAGCAGTGTGAATGGCATTCTTGAGCTGTGCAGTTGATTCCAAAAGAAATATCGGGCTGAATTCGTGCGTGAATGAGTAAGAACCACCCAAGGTCTAACCCACGACCTTCGTGCATGGCATCCTTTGCAATCAGCCATGCCCTTTTGCCATTCAGCATCAATCCTCCAAAACAGCCTACAGGATTTTGGAGGATTGAGGAGGGTTAGGGTTAAATTAAGAGTTTCAAATGAATACAATATGTTCAAGAATACATTTACGATTGACATTTGGTACCTTGCGAGTACGGTCGATGAAAAAAATGAAATGGTTGTTCCGTTGAGTTTGAGAATCATGGGAAAGACCTGTCAGGATTTTATTTTTAAGAGGCTGATGGCGTACCGATATAAACCAGGGACTTTAATTGAGCAACATGTGCTGAGGTTGTCAATCCGCAAACTATTGAACATGTAACGTGTAAGAATAAGATTGAAATCTTGTCAATTCCGAATTTGTGCCAAGTTCCAGCACTTGGTAAGATATTGACTCAAATAGGTGCACATACATTGTACATGTGCTGTTTGATACTCATGCCTACAGATAGTGTATGCTTGTTTGTACTTTGCTCAGTGGAAGATGCTGGTTATGCCGATGAGTTACGTTCAAATAAGATGCCAAGTTAGGGAAATACAGAGTTAGTGAGTCTGGGTAAAGAGGTTCAGAAATGCTGCGCTTGCTGCTTGCTGATGAGTGGTTTTCAGACGATGAATCGGTGAGATGCTGAGTTTGTATTAAACAGGTGGACTCAGTCTAATTCTGATTGCTGAGTCGACTGGAGATGAAGTTCACATGTTTTGAGGGGATTTTTACATTTACCTTATATTTGTACTCTTTTATAAAAAGTTATTCTTAATTCTGTAACATTTGCCGTATTTAATAATTGCTTTAAATGTCTACTTTTTTTGTTACCTGTCATAACTGCTCTCATACAGTATCTGTAGAGTATATTTCACAATTTACAGACTTATCCAGGATGGCTTTGCACATTGTGGATCAAAAACTTGGCTTGTCATTTTATACCCCTCTTCCATGTCTTCCTTGTTTGTGCATGTTCATCGAGAGGAGACAGAATTGGAAATTGTTCAAAGCTGGATTAATTTTGCTATTTATAGCTACATGTAAGAAGCAGTCTCACTCATCAGGGGTGCTGTGCCTGGGAGTATTGGACCATTTGTGGAAAGGGTGCTTTGAAGTAAACAATAGAAAAACTAACATGTTGAGCCAATGGATGATGCCTTTTGGACTCCTTCAAACACTACCTTATCAGATGACTCCTTCTGTAGCCTGGCTACTTGGCATCAGCTGGGAAATATACAGCAAATAGTGTATATATGTGCCATTAGTTAACTGTTTAAAGCAGAATCCCCCCACTCTGTCAAAATGGGAGAAGCTCCAAATCTGACAACTTCAAAAACATCTCCCCTTTCAGTTGTTTTCAACAAGTTGGAGCGGAAGTCCTATTCAGTGCCGTGTATTGCATGCATTAAGAAAATCCAGGAAACTCCAATCCCAGGGAGCAAATCCAATTAGGAAACCTCACTTCGAGCAGTTAACCACAACCTCATTCGCCCTCAATATAGGCACATCAAATGTGGCCATAAGTTGGACAAGGAAAATGTGGTGCGGTTATTTGCATCCGTTTGACTTCCTTGGAATGTACGGTCCCTTTATTTTTGTCAAGAAACAGTTTGAATTGACCCAGCCTTGGCCCTAATTAGTTGTCTAACTTTAGTCACTCTTCAAGTTCAGATACCGTACGCCATTCCAAAGTAAGACATGGTTTTCATGAGTGTTGGCAGTGTGCCCTAAACTGCAAGTGGTATGAAACATCCATGTGTATGGCAAATTCTGTGCTTGCTCGGAACTTTCTAGGCGATGGTGGCAAATAACAATTTACTTTGACTGAATCTGTTTTACAGACATGTACAATGTACATGTTCATGGATATAAAGTGAAAATGTACCGGTAAATTCTACATATGTACTGGTACATCATGTACTTCCGGTATACATATACATGTTATATTATTTCAAGTTGTAGCAAGAGAAAGCTAGTGGTTTCTAACTCCCCATACATGCCATAGCCACATACATGTACGTGTGCGCGTATCCATAACTTTTGGATACATATACATGTATATGTATGTGCAGGGAGTGGTAGCATACATGTACCTTAACTCATGTGTGGTATTTCTCGCTGATTCTTCATTGCACTCTGTGTCTCATGAATCATTTCAGCACGTCTCCTTCCCTCAAATTTTCCAAGTTCTTGGTCATTTTGTCAACTATGCTTATATACAGGTAAATGTAGCCTTTAGATATGTGGATTAGCTAATGTACAATGTACACATGCACCTAGACACAAAACACACCTGACAATGTGCAAAATCTGATATGTACCTGTATGTTGCACATGTACATAATGTAGTTATTATGAGGCAGCGTTTTGTGCTTGGTACATGCACACCCACTACATACATGTACACATTTATACTGTACATCAAATACCGCATACCGGTATGTACAGGTGCTTGAAGTGCAACATGTACTGGTAAAGACAGGAGTTAGCTGTCCAAACTGTCTACACATCCCATCCAGCTGCTGTCTTTTCACGAATGAAAGCACTACATTGTACTGGTACATGTAGTTCACAGCTTAACTTGTCAATATTTGTCCAGGCCAACAGCCCATTTACATGCAGGCTGCTCAGTACACGCTTGGAATTTGGAGCCCTATAGTCGGTTACCAGGGAGTCAGCGTTCCATCAGACAATACACAGTTTCTCATTTTATTCCACACTTGCTTAAATTGTAGTGAAACAGGAAATAGTAAAATTAAGAAAGAACACTTGACCTTTTCAGAGAAAGAGCAAGAAAAAGAAAGTTAATGACTTTAAAGAATTTGCAACCTAGCTATACCAAGGGCAGATCGTTAGAAAGGAAATGTTTTTGTGACCAACGTAATCAACCAACACAGTCCTAGCAGGCTCTGACAGTTACATGTACATGTAATTGGAAGATTCAGCACTTTAATTTGCTGTAAAGCCGGATTGCACTTGTACATGTACGTGTTTATAGTCAACCTTAAGCAGCCTTGAAAGAAAACAAGCAATCATGTCTTCTCAGTTCAGCTACAGGTATCGTTAATGGGTATGATCTCACGCAATACTTCAATACTTTATAAAGATTTTTAAAGAAATGTGTAAAGGGGTCACACGTAACTCAATCAAAATAAAAACTGTTACATTAATGTACACAAAATGCCAATATTTACATAGTATCCATATACACGTACTTGTAAACTGTACAGTTTTGCCTTATTCTACAAAATCTGTTCTCTCCTCCAGAAGTTAAATGTACTGTGTTCCTTTAATTCATGTACGTCACTTCAAATGCAACAGCATCTGGTATGATTACTGAGAAAGGTTAACATAAAGTACATGATAACTTGGTAGGATTATAAATTAAAGTCAGTAAATCACAGTTCTCTATATATACATGCACACATTACAATGCACAATAAACATGCTTGATATCATTTACATGTTGGCACATACACGTACATGTACATGTATACATGTATACATGTACACGTATGTCATACCAGTACATGTACTGGCATTATAAACATGATACAAGTGAACTCAGTGTGCACAGTCAATTTTGGTGACACTTACATGTAAATGCTAGGCTTTGCTTGCAAGAAATTTATGAGGGAAGAAATACCAGTACACCTGGCTCATTAGCAGCCACAAGAAAAAAATGTTTGGAATTCTCAGAGGTCTTTTGCAATAGATGTCCAAGCCAAAATAAATAAACCAGAGTGCTAAAAAAAATTGTCCTTTGCAGATGGAGGAGCTCAAGTCCAAGGACCGTATCATATGGGAGCTGGAGAAGGAGCTGGGCCACAAGACTGGCTACTCTCAGCGGCTACAGTTGGAGAAGGAGTCTCTGAGCACCCAGTTGAACCTGAGCAAGATGGCTGAGTCGTGGGACCAGCGCTCCTCCTCCTCGTTGTCGGCCGCCCAGGAGTCCCCGCCCTCTGGCCTGGGGAGTCACTCAGGCATGATGGTGAGTAACGTATCAATCGATTCTTGGGCTCGTGAGGGAGAGTAGTCTGCTTTTGACTACAGGAGAGTTCTGTGGAAAAAAAGTGGAAATTTTTTCATTGTGTGACTGGCTTCATTATTATTCACAATTCACAGATGAGATGTTTGTTGAATGAAAGTGGAAATAAAGGTTGTGGTTATTTCCTTTCCTGTAATTTTTTTTATGAACGAGATTACCGATAAGAATAAATAAGACTGGTAGCAGAATGACAAATTTCCATTATTGCTTGGAGCCACTAGGTCATTTTCTGCCCAGAGACAATTTCCACAGAAAACTTTTTCCCAAGACGGAAAGTCCAGTGTGGACAACGCGACGCTGTAAAAGCATGGGAAAGTGGCTATTTCTTAAGCCGTGTTTTCACTAGACTTTTTCCCAGCGGGTTTTACCAAGCTGACTGTCAAATAAAAAATGATCAAATGTGACCACTGTCTGCACTTGGGCTTCCGACACAGGAAAATGTTACCAAGACTGCAGGAAAACTATCCGAGCTGGCAATGCAATGACTTATGAGGGCGCTCTGTGTGAAAAATCTGTATTTATTTTCATCCTAACACACAACGTTACCATCCTTTTTATCATCTGGAAATGGTGCACTCTTAACACCGAATAATCTTCCAACAGTGTCACTAACAATTCGTGACGTGATTGCGACCAAAAGAGGGAAAATTTACATGTAATATTCACCACATACCATACCACGACAAAACATGCAATGGCGCATGCATACCAGTTTCCCTGTACGCAGCATGTCGTTGTGCTCCGGCCAGATGAACGCTCTACCAGTCACTTTCCCGTGCTTTTATTGACTTTCGCTGTCCGCACTGGACTTTCTGTCCTGAGAAAAGTGTCCGGGTCGTTTTTCCTGGGCAGAAGTTGGCTGGTAAATGTAACCGACAGGAACACTTCCTGGGACTTAAAATAGGTAAAACCATCATCTCGGTAGGTTTGACAAAAAAAGTCCAGTGCGAACACAGCTTATGGCTAAAAAAGTCACTGAAGGAACTATACAAGTGTAACCCCTTAAATTGCGTGAACCTACACAGTTGTACAACGATCTATTAACATAGAGCTGTTTAAAAATTATTTAGGACACTCCCTTTTTCTCATTGTCTATTGTGTTTACTTGTTTGTTTTTCAAATGAAATTTACATGTAATAGGCACAAAACGGAGTATTTTGTGTATGTACCATACCAGTAGGTGAATAGGCACAGCAGTGCATTTTTTTTTTTAAAAGATGTACATGAGAAATTCAGAGAGAAAGACCACACTGCTGTCTGACATGATACCTGTTGGGTTTCTTGGTACAGGAAAGTTCTAGAAAAATATTAAGGGAGGGTTGTAAACAAATTGGCTTTATGTATGGAATCATACCTTTATAAATGGTTTTGATGAATTCAGTGTGCAGTTGAATTTGTAGATTCCTTGTGGTTCAGTTTCAGTTTGACATGGAAATGTCGACTGCCACACAACTTCTGATTGGTGCATTCGACGATTTATGCACAACTTGCATAGTTGGAGACATTGTT